TTTAAACAGTTGGCTACACTCTTACATGTAAACAGGAAATTGCAACAAGCCAAAAAGGTAATAAATTGGTGGATGTAGTGTAATAATGAGAAATCTGATCAATGGCATTTTGTGACTATGGCATCCTTCAAAATACCTCTGGCATTTGAGACTGATTGGCTGAAAGTCTAACATTTCTGAATGGAGCAAAAAGGACTACACTGGGCTCCAAGAATTATTCTGATGCTTAGCTAAAATGAGATGTCACAGTATTAGCCGTACAAGTGCATTACTTACGCTCCTCTGCCCAACCTCGTCTGAGCTACCAGCAGCACAGTCAGGGAGTGCCAAAGCAGGAATATAATTTCAAACATTTCTAGCCTGTTCCCTCCAGACAGGTCTACCTACACAGTTCTTGGGAAGCTGACCAGTGCCTTCTAAGAGAACATCACTTCTTACACGACATGGAACGGGCACTTGGGTAGAAGGGCCCTGCTGAGCCCTGGTGTCTCTTGGCCTCTCTTCTCACCCTTCTTCCTCACCTACAAGTCTTCGAAAACGCCTCTTGGCAGAGGCCATACCCTAGAAATGTATCCAATTTAATGGCAAATAAAAATGGAACAGAAGATCCAGCTGTTCCTCCCCTGGATGTTGGCTTAAAGGCAGCTCGCCTGGTTTTTGCAGGGTGGCAGTTCGAAATTTATGGACATGGGAGGAGGTCTCCATTCATCCTCAGACTTGCTATGGATGGTGCGACAAGGGCGGTCTGAGGCCCTTCCGTCCTGTCAGTGTGACAGCCACCAGCCAACTCTTCTGACTAATTGCATATATTTCTCAGACGCTCTCCCAAGACCTCTCCGAAAAGTAAAAAACGACAACAAAAAAACCCCCAAAAAACCACCCCCCAACCCCTGCAGCCAAATACTATGACATCCCAGTTAGTAAACACAAAACGTAATGCTTTACAAAATGAATACAATATTCCATGTGCACCCAGCTTCCACACGTCAGCACCGCACTGAGGAGGCTGCTGGGCTGGTGTCTGTAGGCAGTTTCTGTTGGCAGACAGCTCCAGTGGAATTGCCACCCTCAGTTATTGTTTAAGTTATGTATAAGACATGTGTGAACCATTGGATATTTGTGAAGTAACACTTGTGCTCCTGCTCATGCCCTGTTCCGTCCGTCCCCCAGAAGCTGTCCGCCTCAGAGCCTGGGGGCTGTTGCGGACCCCTATAGCACTACTTCGAGGTACCCCCTGCATGGGCCCCGAGGGGTGACCCCATGGCTGGGGTCCACCTTGCATTGGATGGCCCCAAGCTTGTGGTGGGCCACCCATGGGATGACCCCAGTGAGGTCCTGCACCCCCAGTAGGATTGTGGGACCAGCCAGAAGCTCCCGGGTAGCTGTGGCTGAACGCCTCGGGGGAGAGATTAGAAAGAACCATATTACTAAAACCTAGCCTCATGCTTTCTGAGTCAAAGGCTTCGATCTCGCGAGCTTGACGCTCCAGCAGGCTTCGTATCCGTTCGGTACGCTCGTTCTGCAACGCCAGCATCTCCTCCTCAATCTAGGAAGGAAAAAAGAAGAGACAGTCTGTAGTAGCAGTGCTCCTTTACAGGCGTGGCCTCAAGTCTGCGAAGGACTTGTAACAGCAAGCGAACAAGGAAACTCCTCCCCGTGCTTCTACGCGAGACTGGATCTAGATCAGATGTCCACTGACACACAATCTGTTCGGAATGCAAAAGGGTAAGTCCCACGGGCCTGCACGTGCCAAAGCAAGGTGAATACCAGTCGGGGGGTCTTGGTCCCCGTTCCCTGGTAAATACAGAAGTTTTAGGGATGCGAATCCAAAGTCTGCTGCCACACTAACAGCTTGACATAGGTTCATCTTTTAAGATGCAGCGAACTCCACAGCTCCCATAAAAGCCTACTGGGAAAGCACCTTCAGATGCAGCCAAGCACAGTGCCCGTACAGCCAGATACCTGCCAACACAGCTTAATGCGACCTTCACTGTTTGTAGCTGAATCTGACGACGACGACTGCTGTTTTCTCCAGGATTCAATGTACGAGCCCACATTCAGTTTCCTCTCCAATGTTCACTGGCCAGATTTTCTTAGCTCATGCTTATCAGCTCCCATCTACCCCTTTAACTAAATTCATTTCTCATATTTCATTACCCTGATACTTTCTCCAGGGTGTGTGACTGAAGAAGGTAGGCAGGGATGTTTGAACTGTGTGGCAGATTATTAACTAGATGATACGCAAGCTAGCAACTCCAGTTTTCTTCCCCCTAACGCTGTTCCAAATCAGTTTCCAATGGTACTTTGATAGGGGCACTGGGATCAGCTCTCTAAGTACAGAAAACATGGGGCTACAGCCTCCTGACACCCATCAGACAAGGATGAAAGGCTTTCTTATCAAAATCTTTGCAGTCAGGTAGAAAACCAAAGAATCACTCCATTATCTTCTTGCCAGCACTGAAAAAGCTACTTTTGGCCTCAGTGAAAAAGACCAAATGGGTAAAAAGCAGCAGCCAAGACTTTTGGCATAGATCACTGGCATCTCCCCTGCTGTCAGCAGCAACTCGGCCAAGAGGTATTATCTTGGTCTGTGCTTAAGGTACTGGGCAGAGCCTTGGGCTTGTAAGCACTCCCTTGCCTTAGTCAGGGAATATGCAAAGTGATTTCATCTGGAATTTAGGAAACAATCTGCTCCAGCGTGAGTCATCTCCTGAGCCATTTGGGGCCTTCAGAAACAGCCTTACCCCCTTGCCTGTTTCTCAGCACTAGGTGAGTGACACCGACTCTCTCCTCAGAGCAACCTTCCTCGCTCCTG